TGGGAATGGTCCTGAGAAGAAGTATGTGTCCCCCGCCGATTCTCGGTAAGTACTTGGTAAGCCTACATGAGCTTGAAGGTGTTGAAAATATGTGTGTTGCAAGGTCTAAAGTCAGTCATTATAGGGTTAATGTGCTTACCTTCTGTGCTGTTGTTTAGACTGACCTGGAAGGGAACCTGGCAGAAAGCCAATGGAAAGAAAGCCTGGGAAATTGAGGCCTATTTACTTACAATCTTTGGTTAATGCATTCAGGTGATTTCCTTCTAGGGGTCAAGAACAAAGGAAGAATCTCCATTACTATCTGTGTGTCTATTGTTGCAAGCATGTAGTCTTTAAGTGTTTGTTGTTTTGTAGATTTTCCTGTGCACCCTTCCCTTTAGAAATAAAGATTTTTACACAGAAAGAAAATGCCTCCTCTCCATTGCAAACTCTGAATATTTAAGTATTTTTACCTAATTTTCCAACAGAAGGGACCCTTGGAAAGTGCCTGTAGGACTATGTTCAAGTTCCATATGGAAAACCTGTGGATTACTGGTGAATTCAGAAAAGACGCTTCTCTAAAAAACCTCTTATGAAGATGGAAGGAGAAACCTTGCCCCTTTTTTTCTCCCACTGAATAAAAACACCTCTGGGTTCAGCTTCCACTCTAACTGGTCTAGCTTTCTTCAACTTAACCAGTCAGCCACCACATTTCTGTCCTGGCCACATGTACCACCTTTTCAGATTTCATTTCCACTTCCTATATTAGCACCCTCATCTTGTGTTGGCTCTCCTTGAACAGGAAGACCATGTCCAGGGAAGTTTCCAGCACCATTTCTAAGTGAAAGATCTGGTGCACTGGAAGGAAGCAGCTCTTCTCCCCATTGGCCACAAAGCCATGAATATGAAGGTATGGGGAAAGGAGGGGGACCTGATGTGGATGTTGCCCAGTTAAAGGAAGTCTGAGATTCCCATGTATGCAGACATGTCACCAGGGAAACCAGGACTTTGGTGAATACTTGGGGTGCCAAATTCAGCCTGAAATGAGGGCCCAGTATTGGAAATAGAGGCCAAAGTAGCCAAAGTGCAAGAAGCGCCAATGACCGTGGAGGAACTGGATGTGGAGGTAAGCATCCAATAGTTCTACCAAAGTAAGGAAGTCTCCTTTGTAGATAGCTGCCATTATTGAATTGAAGGTCTTTGTCCGAAACTTTCTGTCTTTGATCCATTTGTTCAACCATTGCAGGTTGAGGACTGCCCTCACATCTCTGTGTTTCTTGAGAATCAATTAAAGAATGGAATAGAACCCAGATGTCCTCTTGGTACTGGCTCTATATAGCTCCTATACAGAGGAGATGGTTTATCACCTGGAGAATGAGATGGTGTTTGATTGAATGGTGATACCTGTAGACCTGAATGAGTTTGTCAGGAGGCAGAAATTTGAGTTCCATGGAGTAGCCCTTGCAGATTGTGCCCAGCACCCACTGGTCTTGGAGCATTCACAAATGTATGCAAAGCATAGCAGATAGCCCCTGATATTGTTGGTGATTGCTGACTGTTTGGCATCAGACTGAGGATTTCTTTCCTTCTTGTCCAGCACTGGAGGAAGACTTGCTAGGAGAGGTTGAAGGCTTGGAGTATTGTCATTTGCCTTTAGGCCAGTAAGGTCTAATGCCAGAATTCGGTTGGGAGTTCCAAAAGGACTGAAAACCTTTTCTTAGGCCTGCCCTCTCTCTTATGGTTCAGCA